AAGAAGAAGGATTGGAGTCCCTCTGCGGCATATGCCAGAAGTAAAATGGCATTAATGATATTTGGACAAGCTTTCCAGAAGCACCTCGAGTCATACAAACGACCCGATGAAGCTATCATGAACGCGCGAGTGATATTTGTGGATCCGGGATATTGTCGTACACCAGGATTCAGAAGATGGTTCTCGCGGGGCACATTGTGGGGATTGGTATTATATGTCATGTTATGGCAAAATGTTTGGCTCCTATTGAAGAGCTCTCAAGGGGGTGCACAAAGTATCTCGTATGCCGCTATGGAAGCAGCATTGGGAAGAGGACCTGGTGGAAAGCTTATTAAAGAGTGCAGTGAAATAGACTTCACCACATCTGATGTTAAGGACGAGAAGATTGCAAAGAAGTTATGGGAGGGAAGTGAGAAGTTGATTGAGAGAGTCGAGAGAGAGGAAGCTGTCAAAAGAGCTTTGGAGAAAAAGGAAAAGGAGGCGGCGGAAAAGGCTAATGGATCAAATGAGAAGCCATCTGACAGCCCCGAAACTACAGAAAAAGCGACGGAGAACTCCAAAGGAAAATCTCGAAGGCAACGTAAGGCGAAGTGAGACGATGGAGAATTGGGTGACATATAGCATTGCGACGGAGTCTTCAATATAGCACTTTCGGATACCAGGCTCAATACAGCATCTTTACGTGAAGCTTAATAACTTTGGTTTCATCTAGTTTTCACATCTAGGCACATCTGGTTGATATAGTGGTACCCTTATTTGAAACCCGATTTTCTTACGACTAATCATTTTGCTTAGGTTTGATCTATTGGATGAGGACTAATGATTGAGCCAGTCTAATTCTTGTAGTGAATGCCGTGGTTTTCTCTAAGACGGAGGGTGTGTATACAGAATTTCCTAGGTGGTTGGTTCAATAATGTGTTGGATGATTACCTGGTTTGGCAGCCAGATTTACCAATCGAGTCGTGAATCGTGATGCATCTGTAGCTTATATACTGTGAGTTGGCCCATTTTGATTCTCATCGTCGCATATACGAATTATTTTGGTTGCAGCAAAAAAATGGAGAACTTACATCCTTATATGGAGAAGATGATGTCGAATGGGTCCTCTACGACATATCCACCGATTCATGAATGGCCGTGTCACTATCGTTCACAAGCTCACGGCGGTAGTGGTAACGCAGCTGTCGTTATTCGCTTCACAACACCCTGGAATTATGCAGGCAATAAAAGCAGATGGTACAGCAGATTCTCGATTTAAGCATCTGTTCTGCGGAACCAAATTGGTCATTTTTGTGGCTCCCACGAATCAAAGTACTCTCATTCCTTGAGCAACGTTCGCTAGCATCACATCTTCTCTTCGGCCGTGTGGATCTTGCTTGGCAATATTGCTTGATCCGGGAACATCTGCAAGATGATATCAGAATCTTTTAATGAACGAAATTCTTGATAAATTGTTGTGGGCCTTCGATAAGCTTAATTGTCTTGGACGGTCTCTAGCCGAAAATTCGAGTCAGGGGTGGATCTGAGGCTTCAATACTCATGTACTGTCGCAATGTTCGCGGAAAGAAGCTCAGATATCGAGCACCAAAATTTGATAACTTTTAGAAATTTACAGTGTTATTTGTTCCTCGATAGAGAGTGTTTATTGGTCTCGATTTCTCCGTTAGCCACTAACATGACTCTTGATCTCGTTATGTGATCACATGATCACGGTAGATCTAATACCTATACGGATCGGCATTTTGAGCTTCTAGAAAGGAAGGGACCGCGATGCCGCCGAAACTACCTGGGGACGATACGTACGCCATCCTCCACCAGGAACCAAAATGGATTTCAAAAAATGCGGTACCTCCACAGCTTACAATTTTTCGAGGTCTGATATCATACTTCCAGTTTTGATAACCACTTCCATTTGTGCATATTTGGATCTACCCATATTACTTGGACAACATAGGGTCCACCTTGGAGAGATTTCATCATGACTATCAATGTTTTTTCTATCTTTTGTGGACCTCCATACCGACTCGAGGAGAAAAAATGCTCCCCAGACCCCATATAGTCCCCCATCTCCCACCTCGTATGACTTTTTTAATCCAGAACAACTTGAAAACCCCCTTCAGAAAGCGCATTTACAATCATGGGTTTACTAAGTCATACGGGTTTCCTTGGGAAGACAGTGCAAGGGAAGGCTCTTGAGAGTCTTGTCTGCGCAACTGCTGCAAGTGGTTTCTTACTCTTCGGATATGATCGTAAGTAATGTCCCAACTTAGACCAAAAAGCCAAACTCACCAGTCTATTCAGAGGGTATCATGTCCGGAATCATTACAGAGGAAAACTTCCTCGCGTACTTTCCACAGATGGAACCGCACAACAAATCTGGAGCAATTCAAGCCTTGGTCGTTGCAATTTACGAAATTGGTTGTTTACTCGGATCATTTTTTATCATCGGCTTTGGCGATAAACTCGGAAGAAGGAGAGCTGTGTTATTGGGAACTGTCATCATGTTGATCGGTACTGCGATTCAAGCTTCGAGTTTTGGGATGGCTCAATTGATTGTGGGAAGAATCGTTACCGGTGTTGGAAATGGAATGAACACTTCATCCATTCCAGTTTGGCAAAGTGAAATGGCACCACCTAAGATCCGAGGATTTTTGGTCTTGTTCGAGGGTGCTCTGATTGCTGGAGGCAGTAAGTGGTTTTCATCCCCGTTCCCTATCAACTTCAGCTGACCAAACATAGTTATGCTATCGTACTGGCTGAATTATGGATTCTTCTTCGTCACTCAATATGGCTCCTTCCAATGGCGCTTTCCGATTGCTTTCCAAGCATTTTTCGGAGTTATCCTCCTCATTGGTATCCTCGCATTGCCAGAATCTCCTAAATGGCTACTCAAGAAAGATAAGGACGAACACGCAATCGAAATTCTTTGTCGCCTACAAAGATGCGAGAAAGATGATCCACGAATTACGGAAGAAGTGAGGGAACTTAAGAGAGTTACTGCTATTACCAAAGGGCAAAAGCTCACACTCAAGGAATTTTACGGAAGTGGTCCTGAGATGAACAGATGGAGAGTTACTATTGCATATACTTCGCAACTTTTCCAACAAATTGGAGGCACTAATCTTGTTACATATTACGCAACGTAAGTTCTTATGTCCACGTTCATTCATGTATGCATGTGCTAACGCTGTACCACAGAACTGTCTTCGAGGACTCCCTGGGTTTCTCTCCGGCTCTTGCCCGTCTCCTGACCGCCTGCTATGGAACTCTTTATCTTGCCGCCGCCATTTTCGCTCTGTTCATTGTCGACCATTTTGGCCGCCGCAAAATGATGATCATGGGTGCTCTTGGAATGGGACTTTCATCTATGGTCATCGGTGTCTGTCTTTCACAAACAACAGAAGACTACAAGGCTCCCGGTTACGTTGCCACTGCCTTTATCTTCATCTTTATTGCCTTTTTTGCAGTGGGATGGTTAGGTATTACTTGGCTCTATCCAGCCGAGGTGACGCCGCTTCGAATTAGAGCAGAAGCCAACGGTCTTTCAACGTCTTTCAATTGGATTGGCAATTACATTGTTGTCCAATTGGCTCCAATTATGATTTACAGCATCAGTTGGAAAACATATTTCGTATTCATGTGTGTCAACCTTGCTTTCATACCAGTCATCTGGTATACTTTTGTGGAGACCAAAGGATATCCACTTGAAAAGCTCGATGAGATTTTCGAAGAAGCATATGAAAAAGGAGAGAATCCCGTATGGACAGAAAGAAGAATTAGAAAGAATGCAAAGGAGTTACGAAACGGCGGAAAGCACGCAGAAGAAGGTGTTGCTACCGGCGCCCATATTGGAGATGAGGAAAAGATCAGAAGAGAAAGTAGAAACGAAAACATGGCTGCGGATGCTGGACGTTTGCATAATCATGTCCATGGTGGAGAGAGCGGAAGGACGAGTGGCGAAGATACGGTAATTGAGCAAAGAGAGAAGCTGGAGGAGGAGGTTGATAGAACGGATAGATACCCTTTTGCTGGGAACTGAGTGGTTTCCTTCGGAATTGTGGCTGCTAATCGCAGTCCATGAGAGTTGGGAAATTTTGGGCGCTTGGTGCTCATCTGTTTGTACGATATTGGGTGGATGTAGGAATAGCGTGTGCTTGTTTGATTTTTGTTATGATATCCATGATATGATGCGACGATATTACATGTTAGATGATAAATAATAGACTTAAGAAGGATTATATGAGAATGAATTACAAAAACTACTATTATGAAGAAATAAAAACTTTACGAAGCGATGTGATCTTGTGTGGATTGCGAGGAAGTTGTTCAAGCTAGCTTAGCACAAACAGAAACCTTTATCACTGTCTGACAATTTATAAAGGGGAAGCCTTAATTTCAGAATATTAACTAGATGTGATAAATCGGAATACATGAAAGTTGTAAAAAAAACTTCGGTCGAGCAGCCGCGGTATGCAGAGGCAATGACCATTGGATTAAGGAGAGTAACTTTACAAGCCTTGGCATTATTGGGATAGCTACTCCTGAGCACTGCCATGAATTTTTCAACTCCAAGTGATTATGCTGAGCCCATCAAAGGCTTGTGAGCTTCTATTCCAATATTCAAGGGTATTTGGTACCACCAAATATATATCGTCTCAGAAAGAAATGATATCTCCCTCAAGACACTAATTTTTATACTGGACTAGCTCTTGCCGTCTATACTATCAACGAGTTTATCAAGTGGTCGATTAAGAGGCTTTTATTTATTTATTTATTTATTTATGATGATCGATAAGTTCAACGTTCCAGAGTTTGTCTGTCTGTCTTTGCGCTACAGCTTTGAGGTACCTGTTGCTTCCTTCCTTCTTGACTTTTCCGCTTTCCCTCCTTCCTAGGGAGGATTAGATGTTTATCTTTTGTTCATCTCTTCCTACTCCTGTTCTTCGTCGTTGTCTTGCTTTTATTTCTCAGCTTATTTCTTTGGTGTATTGATTATAAGAATGGCAGATTCCAGCGAGTTTGCTGAATACCGTCTTACAAGATGGAATATAGATGACGATTCATTATCTTATATTGATCATGATTATTGGGAAGAATTAATAAATCAAATAGTCGAATCACGATGGGGTATGAAAGCATCGGCTCTGAATCGAGACGGATTATTTCGCAAAGCTTTTGACCGCGTCAACAAGCCATCGCATGATGGTGGTTCAAAGTCAAAACATTGCAGCAATTTTTCAGAGGCTCGAAGATTCAAATTGATGATATCAAGTATATGGAATATCTCTGGTATGTCACAATCCTTTTTCACAAGTGTTCAAAAGGCTGATGCATGTAGCTGGTCGGGATCGTGGTTGTACATTACACGGTGAAGGCAAGAGACGAATGGCTCGCGATTCAGCAGATAAAACCCCCCGTGGAAAAGACTTTGGCAATACCGTATGCTCTATGCCGGTTCATACTGAGGGTTTCTTTCCCTTTGTGGTGGAAACATTAAATGTTGCTAAAAAAATATGCGTCGAATCGCAGTCAAATTCTAGCTTTTCGTCAGTCACTTGCAATTGATTCGGGAAAAAGACAATCAAAAGGGACTTCTTCATTTGAACCCAAAGAAAAGCTGAGCAACCGGAAAAAACTGGGCTTTTATCAAGCGGTATCAATCTCATCAAACGGAGCAGGACACTCAAGAGAAAAGTCCCCATTTGAAGCCAACAACTCACCAAGCAGGCAAGAAAAACTAATAATTGGCGATGCAACGTCATTTTCGTCGGATATTTTAGGCCATTCGATCAAAGCAGAAGCAAATATGGATCAGCTAATGTCCAATTCATCAAAAAGATTGGAATATTCAACTGTAGAACAATCAGATGGGGGTAGATCGGCACGATTATCAACCGCATTCGACTCGTTGGAACATTCAACTGGGTTGGGAGGAGTTGCCGAACCGTTTTCAATTTCATCAAACGGATTGAAACACCTGGCTGTAGAGCAATCAGAAGTTGATCGTTCAGTATCGATGTCAATTTCACCAAACTTGTCGAAACAGTCAGAGCTATTGGGATATTCAATATAATCGAAGGAAATTACTGAACTGATAATATTTATATTAAATGGATTGGGTTATTCAATTAGATCTTATTATCTATCATTAGTTGGTATTGATATTATAAGCTATAGCAATTATATTATCAAGAGAGCCTTTTTATATAAAAGAAAGAAATCGCTCAGTGCCTTTAGAGTTCCTTTAGATATTGTTTATATATAATTCAAGAACTATATTATATATAAACTAAACAATTAGAGAAAAGGAAGACATATACAGAGCCATCAATATCGATATCAATTTCACCAAACTCGTCGAAACAGTCAGAGCCATTGGAACATTTAATATAATCGGAGGAAATTACTGAACCAATAATACTTACATTAAATAAATTGAATTATTCAATTAAATCTTATTATCTATTATTAATTGATATTGATATTACAGACTATAATAATTATATTATTAAAAAGACCTTTTTATATAAAAAAAAATTCATTCAATATTCTTAAAGTTTCTTTGAATATTGTTTATATACAATTCAAGGACTATATTGTATGTGAACTAAACAGTTGGAGAAAAGGAAGACATGTACAGAGCCAATTGGCTCTCGAAATTTTCGGTGTATGGTTTGAGAAATCAATGCATCAATATTATTTTCAAACCTTGATAGATTTCATACACGAACTCGGTGCAGGACGACAGTTGGATTTGGGGCAACTTCATAGCGCCGCTGGTGAATTCATACTTGTGGCTGGCCGAATGAAGTTCGATTCAATTCCAGGAGATGCAGTAGTTGCAAACCGGTCTGTGAATGTTTCGCAGAATTCTTATTATCAGCATCTATTACAAATCACGAACCAGAACGTTGCTGGTAAGTTTATCGGTCGTGACGGAGCCCGCGCAAGAGAGACCGAGAAAATTTTAGGGTTATTCATGTCTCTCAAGCGGTTTAAAGGAAAAGAGTACTTTGTGTGTAGGCCACGCCCACATCAAAATCTTGATCGACAGAAAAATGTCAATCATGAAAGATGCTGAATTGGTTTGGAAATTATCAGTATATGGCTTTGGGAACATTGGAACGCACAAGATGACTACATAAATTTGCCGGAGTTCCTTGTTTTTTTGAAAGCATCAAACGATAAAATGACGTTGGAGGAAATTCATGAAGCCGCAATACATTCTATGAGACAAACAAGGCTACCATATTCCCACAAAGCTTTCTTCGAATCAAATTATACCATAGAAGCAGTATCAGGAGATTAGAAAGATGGGTGTTTGAATCTGTTTGAAACAAGGAGAGCAAGAAAATCATGGTGATATATGATTTGATTATGCGCAACGCGGGCAAAGCATGTCGATTATCACAGGGAAAAAATCAATGACTGAATAAAATTTGAACCATGACACTAGAGAACTCATTGTACCAATAGAAGCCTTAAATACTCCGTCTTGTATTGCTAACCATGACTTCACATAGTATCATATACCAAACAGATCGAACCGATAGCAAGTAAGAGTTGTGGAAGACAATGAGTTTACTCACTTGCCAATAGGAACATCTTAAGAAAATTCTTGAAATTTTACTCAGTGAAAACAATGCACTCCCAACACCACGCTAGAAAGTTTCAAGAATTCTCCAAGCGAGAACGGATATCAAATGAAGCAAAGTGGAAATGAAACCCAAGATTAGATGTATCAAAAGCCAAGGAAAGTAACACGTGGAGCATCTCCTTCTTTAGAGCACATCTCGCGAACCAAAGACATATGAACCCTTGTTCCACTAAGATGCTGAATCTTTGACACCTTTTCCAAAACAGTCTTGAACTTTCCAGATGAGAATTTTTCCAGGATCCATTCTCGATGTATAGTATCTGTGGTTTCGATCCCTGCCATGAACAAGGGCCAATGGAGTCTTTCGTAATGTTCCTCGTCACCTTGTGCAAAGATTCTTTGAGCAATGTCTAAGAGTGACTTGAGAGCTCGTTTGATCACCTTTGGTCTTGCGTTGCGATCTCCGTTCTGCGTAGTATATCGAAAGTGGTAGATACGTATAGCGTAGAAGTAACTGAGGATCCAATCGGCATTGATCAGGAATCTTGGACGAGTTTCCATATCTATTGCAGCGAGTTTAAATATATAGCTGTAAGTTTGTTCGAGTTCACAAAATTGTTGTTCTATCTCATCTGAAGGGATATTTTGGTCAAGATCATTCACGAGCTGACACATTATTGCCGACTTCCATAAAAGATCTAGCACTTCAAGATTCTGGGTATCGTCAGCTGCCTGATCTGGTGGGTAGTCTTGGTTAAAGTTCAGAGCTAGAACAGCACGGCCCATGTCGACGATTTTGGATATATTCTTTGTGTCGGTGCAAAGGTATCTTGCAAGATCCCCACCACGGTAGCAAAAGCAAAATCCAACATCGGCATAAAACATCCAAACTGTAACTCGGGCTATTAACGATTGATCACGAAGGTGAAAAGGTAATGGAGCATTTGCGTGCCGCTTATTGAGTGGATCTAGATCTAGAAGACCCGTTACATGCTTCTGAACATAATCGCGTACAACTCTGCTCAAGAGCATCATTGTACCGATGCCCGCATGAATTTGACTTGATCCAAGCATATATAAGAACCAGAAAGCTGCCATGATGCTCAAGTGATGTGGTAATTCTTCCTCGGAGATAGCTGTCAGTAAACGACCAATTCCAGCTCGAAAGTGCTTCTGAGCAAGGTCGTGAAGTTCATTATCTTTATCTTTGAAGAACAAGTCACGAAAGGATATCGCAAGCAGCAAGTGCATAATCAGAGGATCTTGCGCACCGAGACAAATATAAATTTGCTGGGTTGACCAGGTGGGGTTTTTGGTGGTAAACTTCAATGATAACGTCTTCTCGTAGTGTTCAACAGCCCGTTTCTCTGATGGTGAGAGTTTCAAGGGACTCGGATGACGTAAATTTGGGAAATGAAGTGTGACGCATCCTTGAGCATAATAGTCATCTTGAAACACAACGTTATCTCGACCCACAAGGTCAAGAGCTCTTAAAGGTTGAAATGGCGATGAAGGGCTGGTAGTGTAAGTGTCCTTGTTTCCTGGCGCGAGTCCGTCAAATTTCTCGAGATTAAAGGAACCTTCGGGTAAGACAAATCCATGTCCCATACTGGTCGTCCATTCATGCATATTCCACATGTCAGGAAATACTTCATCTTCAACTGCATGGAGAAATTCGTTGACATCTGCCGGTGTTGGATGTGGTATGGACGCAACGACATTTGGGATAATCTGAATTGGGATTGTCCTTTCTCTCGCTTCTCGATGCCGTCGCTCCCTTTCCTTCCGAGAAACAAATGGCTGGTATGAACAATCTAACTCTAGACGATTGCACCTTTCACATATCGGATGTTTTTCGTCACACCTCACTCTGGCACGTCTACAAGTCATACATCCTACACTTGATTAGATCAAAACTTTGAACTATAGAAGACACCTACCTGATCTTGACCTGAGGCCTTTTCTAGGTTGTGACATGGTAGAGTCTGCGATCCAAGTTGGCTCAGAGTTTTAGGTGGGGTCCAAGTCTAATCCAAGTGCTCGAACAATTGTTGGAAGTCTCTTTCCAACGTTGCCCATCTGTGTGAACATTTATGCACAGATCTAGGACCTTCACGAGACAAAATCAAGGCCATGATGACTGCGGGCTGAGTTGAGCTGATGAAGTGAGGTTGAGAATAAGGCTGGAATGATTGGTTGCTATTAAATCAGACCTGTCAAGTGGGTCAAATGCGGCTGGTCGTCTCGACTAACCAATCAGAATTGGAGCTCGCCAATTTTGAATTTACCCCGCGGCATTGATGTCTGAATGAAAGCATGATATTCAACGAACCGTGGGACTCATTTCGCTTGGTTACATCTATCGATACTAAAACCGTTGCATTTTCAAAAAGTTGTTTGCCTTTTATAGATATCCCTTCATTCCTCGTGAGCTCATTACCGATTGACTTTGCATTACTTTATTACTAAGCTACCATTTGCTTTTCCCTTGTTTCCCATCTGCGCATCTATTCAACAATCAAGCAGTCCACCAAGTAACGAAATAAAACTACTATCAAAAATGGATTATGCAACCCTTTTCGATCAGGCCATCGGTCAGTACGATGAGAAATTGAAAGCAATCAATCAAAAGGTAGCAGCAGCCTTCTATCCATATACAATTGCACCGTATCTCACAGGTTTAGATCCACGAAAATCCAGAGCTTGGATTCAATGAAATAAAGGCACACGACAATATTACGTCCATGTTAAAAGAGCTAGGTTACTCTGTCACGACTGGAGCGTATGGTGTACCAACAGCTTTCTCAGCTGAGTATGGTAGTGGGGGTCGTCTTGTAGTGTACAACGCGGAATATGATGCTTTGCCCGATATCGGACACGCATGTGGCCACAATCTCATTGCTACTGCTTCAATTGCATCATTTCTTGGTCTCGCGGCAGCAATCAAAGAGAAGAATATTCCTGGCCGAGTCAGACTTTTGGGAACACCAGCCGAAGAAGGAGGCGGAGGAAAGTTGAAGCTCATCGACGCTGGAGCGTACAAAGATGTTGATGCTTGTATGATGGTTCATCCATCCATCAGAGACCCTAGTCATGGCCTCGTTGGCTCCGCTTATAGTACCACGTTGGCAAACCACAAGTTTAAGATTCATTACACGGGCAAGCCCTCTCATGCGGCTATGGCACCTTGGGAGGGTATCAATGCGCTTGATGCTGTTGTTCTTGCTTACAATGCTATAAGTGTATTGCGACAACAGATCAAACCATATGAAAGGATCAATGTAAGCATAATAAGTATTTTCCTCAGCCATATATATCCTGACCTATACCAGGGAGTGATTGAATCTGGTGGTACCAGACCAAATATCATCACGGCTAGTGCAGGATTAGTTTATTATATCCGAAGTGCTACCCTTAAAGAAGCCGATGAGCTCAAAGCCCGAGCCATCAAATGTTTCGAGGGAGCTGCTATTGCAACAGGCTGTACCGTCGAGTTTGAAGAGTATGTTGACATTCCCCGCTTTTCCATTCAAATTATGTATTGACCTTGCTCAGGATCAATACATACGCGGATACACGACCCAATAAGCCAATCTGCTACCAGTACGCCCAGGCGATGGAAAGTCTCAAATACCCAGTTACATGTGATTTTAAACACATTGATAATGCGCCTGGCTCAACAGATATGGGTACGTTTCAAATCTCTCTTAAAATAAAGATTCTCTTTTAACCAATCTCGCTATTTCAGGTAATGTCACATACGAATGTCCCGGCTTCCATGGTTGGTATGGTATCTCCGATACAGCATTTAACCACACTCCTCAATTCACACAAGCCGCCGCTACCAAAGAAGCTCATGATATTACTATTGTGACGGCTAAAGCTATGGCGATTGTGGGATGGAAAATTCTTACAGACGATGAGGTAGCGGAGAGTGTACGGAAAGATTTTGAAGAAGATAAAACCTTGAGGGAGAAGCCCAGGGGTGTGGTTTCGGTGGGAGGTGCTTGCTGAAATGGATTTCGTTAGTTTGATTCGCCAAATAAACGGAAATAAGTTCGATAAGTACAGTAGAACTTGGTTATGTCGGAATAAAATATTTGACCAATCAAATCCAATATAAACAAAATTCCGGTATAAAAATTGATAATCCAAGCACTGCTATTAATATTTATATTCAATTTCAGTTCCAAACCCCAATATTTTTCGAAAAATATGATGTGATATCAACAAATCAAGCTTATTTACATATAAAAAAAAGCTTATTAAATTAAATCTATTGCCAAAATCGATATCGGATTTACAAAAAATTAGTTTAGTATTCCGATTTTACCCAAAATTTTGGTATTTGTCGGAACGTACGATCACGTGCTTAAGAGAATCATACCTTATTCTAGATCATCTCAATTCATATTATTCATTTTGAAAATTGAAAAATTAAAAAAAAACAGAGTCGGACTAACTTTTGTTATATTCGATTCATATGAGACAACTAGAATACTACGTTCCTCATATTATCTTCTTCGAATTATATGCTAAGAAGAGGTCTCTGACTACAGTTGATTTCTTCAGTATAGTTTGATTTTATATCGACTCTATCTGCGTTCATCACGCTCTCGTACACGCCATACGACAAATCTATTTCGATACAATACGACATCGAATATTACCATTCAATATGGGTTTCCCAATCCCCGAAAAGCTTCTGTACGACATAGATCCTGCATTCTGGGGAAGACAATTAAACCCAAATAGTGAAGAACTCACAGAACCCAAGTGAATAGTGACATCACTATATGGATCATCAATTCGCAATACAGATAACATAAGAGGTAACGCTTATGGGAAGAATTTCAGGAGTGATACGAAGGTTGGACAGAGGCCACATTCAAAATTGCACATCGCGAAGCTCTCAAACTCGTACGAAATCAACTTATTCTTTATGGTTTTCAGGTTCGACAAATAAGAGGAGGTTTTAGCTATGCCAAAGTTCTTGCTGAGATTATTCCGAAACCTAAGCCGGACGAACAAATAAAAGACATTCAAGAAGAGGTGGAGCGATTGAAAACAGAATATACGGATGTGTACGACCTCATTTCACCGAAGAAACCGACTCAAATTCAAGCATTGCCTACACCATATTCTTCCGAACAGAATTGTATGATCGATCTCCCCATGGTCCTACGGAATTTCGTACTACAGTAGTAAAATCATTCTACGAAGAAAAGCACGAAGACGAGAAAAACGAAAAACGAAATTCAATCAATTCATGGTGGAACAAGAAATGGACGAAGAAATATTCGAGCAATACCTTTTAAGATACGAAGGTGAATCCGATCTTCAGTACGAAAACGGTGAAATATCAGACGAAAACGACAATACCGAGTACCCACAAATTGAATCATACGACAAAACGAACAAGAACGACAGTCCCAAAACCAAGCCCTTCCTATATAAGCATTGCCCGATCGCTCAATACAATACGAAACACCGTATACAGCACTATAAAAAGCCTATATAAAATGAATAATATGAATTGAGATGATCTAGAATCATGTGATTCGCTTAAGCACGTGATCGTACGTTCCGACAGTATTGCTATAATGTATTTTATTAGTGTACGAGTTATATTAGTATACGAGTTACTTATTTTATATACAAAATTCGTTTGTGTGTAACTGTGTACTTTCTTTATTTATAAATATAATTTTTTGAAAATTTGTTATAAAATATTTGAATATATAAAAGTTTTAAAAATCTAATTAATTTTAAGAAATTCGAATTTATAAATTTTTTATTATAAAAATAGTTTTTTGGTAATGAAAATCGTGACAATTTCCTTTTTTTTCTAGAAAATAATGAAATAATTTTACAAAAATAAAATGAATAAAAACCCTAGATTTTAATTATTTTTTAAGATCTTTTATTCCCCAAAAAAAATAATTGGTTATTAAAATATTAATATTTTAAAAAGCTTGATTTAGATAATTTTCGAAATAACCCGCATACTGATATAACCTGTACACTAATAAAACATGTTATAAAAAATAATCAAATCAGAAAATTGTTTTGGTATATTTAAGATTCCGGTATATCCTAGTCCGGTATAGCCAAGTTCTACTGTATAAGCAGATATAGTAGTTCGAAGAGAGTATGTTAATCGGGATAATCGATTTCGTCGCAAAGTAGTCGATCAAATGTTGCACGTCGTACTTTCCATATATCAACATCATATCTGTTGGTTCGAGAAGGATACGAAAGACGTAGCACCCACGTATTGGTAGGTCCTATATGTCTAATTGTATTCTATCTAAAGAGCTAGCTAAGTGGGAAAGTAGTAGGCCTTATTTAGGCACTACTGAAAGAGCTAGTCTCTTTCGCATTCGCTTAATCCCTTTGATACAGTAGCCATTGTATTGAAGTCATTCCTTTGAAGTGAATACCCTTGTTCACACAATATCCCATATTACATCAAAGTAGTAATTCGCAATTCTCTATTGTCCGGATGTTGACTTAATCACCTAGGCTATGCCCTTTTTTAACAATTAATCTAGACTGCTTATCTGAGTCTTATAAATGAATGAATACCCTATCATCTCAATACCCTAGAAATAATAATCTTTATTCACTCCTCACACTTTCTTAAGCGATACCTACCCCTTAACTACCTCGTTAGTATCGAGTTAGGCTACTGTCTATCACTGGTGAATACATTCTCTGGTGAATATTATAAGATGCATTTGATTTATAATATATTTGATTTCCTCTTCTTCATGTATTCGTTTAATCATGTATTCATCTACGTAGTCAATTATTCACTTATCCATTCATCATTCATAACCCCCTCAAAGAAATCCCAACCCAGATCCCAAACTTTTCCTTTCTTTTCCTTCCCTTCCGTTTGCTTCCCAATCGCCAAAATAAATCACACCATGCTACGCTTATATTCAAACATACAATTTTATCCATCTCCACTCGTCTCATTCATTCCGTCTATATATACCATGTATCATTTTCATCCACCTTCCCTCACTTCCACTCTCACAATACAATTTCATCTTTCCTTGCTCTTTTCTCTTCACTTTCTAAACCCAAGTTTCGGCAATTTGATTCCTATCGTTATAGCAAAAGATAGAATACTCATCACCAACGCAAAGATGTACGCGGCTTTTAGGGCTTCGGCATAGGAATCGATGACTTGGTCTCTGTAGTGGGGTTCTAGACCTGCTACTGCTTGGACGGAGGAGCGGACTGCTTCGATTACCTGTTCATTTATCGAATCGTTAGCTTTTCTCTTCCAGAAAAGAATGATAAAATCCTAGAGAGGACATGGAGAAACGTGAAGAAAATGAATGAAAAAGTACCTTCTCCTTATCCGGTCCCACCACATTCGCATTCAAGAATCCCACCAGCGAATTCTGCACAATGAGCGAACTGACGGCTACCCCCAAAACCTGTCCCATACTCCTCCACAAAACCAAAGTCGTCGTGACAACTGCTTGTTCCCCCTGTTCACTCACGGCCAAAACACTCATGAAACTGCCCGGCATTTGGAATCCTTGTCCCATACTCGATGGGATCAAGAGTAAGACGTATACCCAATTTGGCAAGGAGCGATTCATAGCTACTAATCCTATCGTGCCGATGACATAGAGAGAGACGCCGAGGACCAAGGGGATTTTAAGGTTGCGAGTCCAGGTGATGAGGAATCCGGTGAGGGTACCGAATGCGCTGGCGGCGATGGAGGGGATGATGAGACGGAGACCGGATGCGGTGGGGGATTCGAGGAGGACGGCTTGGAAATAGAGGGGGATGTTGAAGAGGACTGCGTTGATTACGATGGCGCCGAGGGCGTTGCCGATGATGAGGGAACCACGAGGATTGTGGGTTATGAGGGAGAGGGGCATGACGGGTTGGGAGGCGTAGTATTCGGTTATGATGAATAGGGGAAGACCGATGATAGTAAGGATTATACAGGTGAGAATTAGAGGGTGTGTCCAGGGGTAGATATTACCGCCGAGATTCTAATGAGTGTTAGATTGAGTTGCCCACATAAATGAAGGAATTCCGATAGGCTCCTGGGAGGGTACTTACAATTGCGAGTATGAAGAAAGTAATAGTGGCCATTAGTAACAACGAACCTTTGTAATCAAAAACACTCAAAGCCTTCTTTAATGTTTTCTTCCCCCTATTCAAACCTAAATCATTTGGTATAACAAAACACGAAACAATCAAGCAAATAATCAATCCTGGGACCTGAACCCCAAATTCCCATCTCCATCCAAGATGATCCGCAATCGCACCACCTAGTGCTGCTCCTGAAGCTGCTCCAATACCAAAAACAATATTCAGATAAGATTGATACGCTCCGCGAATCTCGATGGGTATGAGATCACTCGTGATAATCGATCCCATGGACATGACACCCCCAGCACCCAATCCACAAACTGCTCTCGCGATGATGAAACTCGTCATACTTTGAGCAAGAGCACACCAAATCGTCGATGCTAGAAACAAAATCATAGAGAAAATATATGGAGGTTTTCTTCCCATGGCATCGGAGAGACGTCCGAAGATAGGTTGGAAACTGGTGGATGTGAGAAGAAATGCGGTCGACAACCATGATGCACTATTAGACGCATGAAAATATGAAGTGATAACTGGATGACTCGAAACCATGATTGTAGAATCAAATGAAGACAATGTATATGTTAAAAGCACACCACCGAAAATGAGCCAAAATCTCTTTACTCCAACACCGCCTAGAAATGGTGATTTGGGTTCCTCGTCATCGTCCTCGATGGTTTCTCGAATACTCCTAACAGAACCAGCGATGGATTTCCTTCTCGTGCTTACACGACTTGAATTTCGAGATCCTCGTTTGGTATGGTGATGAATTCGGGAACTTCGAAACATGGATGATTCTTGAGGATTGGTTTCGATTCCGATGGCTGTAAATGATGTTGTTCTCGATAACATCAAATCGAATTCATTGGGATCGACATCCGTTCCTGTTGAATCGTCATCATTATCCACCAAGACTGCTTCAATCGCCGGTGTATCATTTCTGGGTGGAAAGAGGAGTGGTGTATTTTCTGTTGCGGTATGGGATGAGGTATCTTGACCACCCGCTCGATGATTGTTTTCCGCCATGATTTCTCTCCTCTGTATGAAACCGATAACACTCAACAAAGTTCACACAAAGTCAATCAACAGCGAACGATGATCAACATATATATAGAAACACCAGCACTTCCCAAGCAAATTCGGAGTCACCGCCCAATGGAGCAATCATTTTTTCTCGACACCCTCACAATCATCTACAAAGTGATTGCTGACCCAAAAGTCGTCCACTTTCCTCCAGAGGTTAGAGGGGATGGGAAATATATAACCCTGTGACCCTCTACATAACGCAATCGAGCTACGAAAAACCGTCATCCCTTTGGACGCATCAGAGAAAAGCATTCACCGAGTGAGTCAGTCCCGCTTTCATACATCGTACATACATACGATGCACCTAGAGAAAAGAGGAAACCAGGATTGATTTTAGGAAATGCAATGTTAGTGTTAGAAGAGTTGCAATTGCATCCATCCACCAGTGATACCCGTCGCACCATAACGGGTGAAGGACTTTCGTGACGGGGAACCTATCAGCGCAAAGTATGATTTTCCCGCTTCATCTCGTGGGGTGGGATATAGCAAATATGAAGATTTCGATTATTCATACAATTCAAAGTTATGTATTCCGATTGAACAGGTCTTATGCGATGACTGAGAATGTGACCTTTTTTACGAGTAATTCTTTTAGCTATCCATCTCTCAAAGACGGGATCCCATTCTAGAACAGTCTCCATGTATGTATGCATCCTATAAGCCTATCTAATACAATACAATCAACCATCATCATCATGCAAAGGGCGCCAAATCAACAATCACTAATCACTCATTCACTACACACACAACCCCAGGCTATCTACCAGTACTCGAGCACCGATTCTGCATGCAAACATGGATATACTGCAGACCTCAACCCTCGGGAGCGATCCTCTATCCTATCACAAGTACGGATAATATTCGGGATAATACAATACCCGTTATCGATAAGAGAAACCCTGGAACCCCGAGCCCAAAATCTCCCGGAGCAATATCGGACTTGATATCAAACAGACAATTGCAATCTGTTTACCAAATATTAATTCATTCTTTTATCTCTTCCTTGTAAGTAAGTTAAGTGAAGTGAAACACACAATTGACGTTCAAGATCTCTCTCGCTTTCATCTTGAAATTCATATACACTCCTTCATCTATCTATAACTATATTCAAGCAGCAAAACAGCCCATCTTACATCTTACATCTTATCACCATGCCTCAACCTCCCCTCCGCATCGCAATCCTCGAATGCGACACCCCCCTTCAAAACACCAATTCCAAATACGGCGGATACGGCGGGGTATTCACCTCACTCCTGCAGCGGGGAGCCTCCTCTCTTTCCCCTCCGCTTCCCGAATCCTCTCTCCAAATAAGTAAATACGACGTTGTGACGGCGCAGGAATATCCCGCTCTCTCCTCCATCGACGCAATCCTGATTAGCGGATCGCGGCACACATCTTTTGAATCTGATGCGTGGATCGTGAAGCTGGTCGAGTTTGTGAAGGGGGTTTTGGCGCAGGATAGAGTGCGGTTGGTGGGAGTGTGTTTTGGACATCAGATTATCGGGAGGGCGTTGGGGGTCAAGGTTGCGAGGAGTGATCGCGGGTGGGAGGTGAGTGTCACGCCGGTAGAGTTGACGGGGAGGGGGAAGGAGATTTTTGGGTTGGAGAAATTGGTATGTTTTTTTGTTTTTTTTTCTATTTCTGTTATTTTGATTCGTCAATACATAAAATGAGCAATTGGAAAACAGAGAGAGAGAGAGAGAGAGAGAGAAACCAAAACTAACAATCCAAAAGAACATATTCCAAATGCACAAAGACATCGTCTACGAATATCCGCCCGAAGTCGAACAATTAGCATACACCGACAAATGCGCCACGCAGGGAATGTACATTCGCAAAAAACTCATCACCGTGCAAGGACATCCGGAATTCACAGAGGAGATAGTGCGGGAGTTGTTGGAGGCACGTCATGCATCGGGGGTGTTTGACGACGAGACGTATACGGATGCGGTGGGGAGAGTGGATAAGGAGCATGATGGTGTGAAGGTCGCACAGGCATTTTTGAAATTCATCATGGAGGATTAGATGTGTATTGTATTCTCTGGAATTGGATAAGTTGTACTATACTAGGATATATAAATAGTCGTATCTTCATCTCCGTCATCAGTGAGTGAATGTGTTTTTCCCTGATCCCCTCCTTTCCCCTCCCCACCCCTCCCATCAAACTTCATTCCTCCACCCTCAAAATCTACATGCCACAAATCCATCACATCACATCTCCTAATGATTAGGTATCTCCCAATAACTCAATACCCTACCCTATCCCAACCCCGAAAGCTTCTCTCTCTACCCTCTACTCCCTCTGCTCCCTCTACTCCCTCTACTCCCTTCACCCCTCCACCCCTCCAGCCCCTTTCCACCTCCACCTCCACCTCCACCTCCACCTCCACCTCCAACATCCCATCCCTCCTATCCTCAGAATCTATCTAGACTTTTTAAAAGTCCCTTCCATACCATTCATTCCATCCATTCATACCATTCATCCATCCATCTAGCGAATAAGCGAGCAAGCGAGCATATTCATACAAAATAAAATAAATTAAATTAAATCTTCCAAGTCACATACATTCATATATACATCCATACTAACATCCACATCCACATCTACATCCAAATTCCCATTCCCATTCCCATTCCCAAAAAATCAAGCGTTTCTTGCCAAAGCATACCTACCTACCTACCTAGCCAGTCCCGATATCTCATTTTCGCGATTAAGCTCGCGGTCAAGCCCAAACATCATCCATTTCATCCATTCGCTCCGCTCGTTGGGAATAGCGACAATTAGACTGATAATGCATCTGACCCATCTCCTCACATTCACATCCCTCATTACATCAATACATCACACGTCCACCCATCAAAAACACAAAATTATACTGAAAAAATAAAACAAATCATCATTAATAAAACAGAAAACACCTCTCTCCAAATCCTATTTACATATTTACATACACCCATACATCCATCCAAACATCCATCATTCAAAGCGTCAAAAGAAGAAGAAAAAACCTCCAAATCCCATCCACATGCTAACCAAGCAAGCAAGCAACCATCCCATTCCTATATCCCGAGGTATTTCCTTTCTTCCGTGGTGTGGTATAAGTAAAATCTCTGCTTCGTGTTCCCATGGTATCAATCAAAAACTCTCTTTTTCTTTTCCTCTTTTGCATCATCCCCCTTCTCCATCCTCATACCTCCTTATACATTAATTTTCCCCTTACTTTGCTTCATCCCCACCTCCCCTCCTAATAAATCTCCCACTCCTCTCCCCCTAATTCCTCTTAACCGCATTCCCCACACTACTAATCCCCTCGCTAATTCCCTCACTAATCTTCGAACTCCACCCTCCCATCCACCTAGGAACCGTCATCGTCAACCTAATCCTACCCTCCACAATCGCCTCCACACAATTAATAATTCCAAACGCACTCGATCCCACCGCTCTAAAGAGCGCCAGAGCCGCCACCGCCCACAGAAGGAACGTCAAGTAATAATTCGTCCCCAAGTGATCCGGTCCATAAGCTTCACTAACAGCCATTGCCAAGGTCCCGTTTGCAATCATCCAGACGAGAACCATGTACGTACGAACACTCTTGTAGTAATCTTCCTGCTGTTGCGATTCCGAGATAGGAGGAACGGGAACTTCGAGTCTGTCACGGAGATTGCGAAGAGCTTCATCATAGCCGGAATCGATATCGAGTTGCTCAGAGGGCATTTCCAGTTCGACCGTTTGACCTTTTCCAGAAGCAGCTCCGAGATCGTTAGACATGACATTGTCACCTTTAGTTCCCCATGTAACATCGTGAGTGTTGCAAAAGGCGTAGACTTGAAGCGTACAGATATAACTTGGAAGGAGAGCAAAGTAAGAACCAGAACTGGTGAACATATGCCAAGGATCGAGGTAGAGGAAAGACATGAGGAAGTAGAGGCCGATTGTTGAACAAAGCGAGACGACAAGATTGGTGAAGAGGTTATTGCCAAGCACGAGACTTTTGGCATTATCGTGGACTTCTCGGTAAACGATATAAATGGTGGAGAAAAGCGTGTATACCATGATGATCGAGTAAATAATCATGGACATGTAATATAACTTTCGTGCTCCTTGTGGTCGATTTCCCATAGATAAAATGAATTGTGTGGCAGTGAGAAGAACACAAACATATTTTAAGACATAAAATATATATTTTCCAATACTGTGGCCAAATGGATCCATATTGTCAACAGATAGCGAACCGGCAATGAAGTAGAATGTAAGGTAGAAATTGGCCAGAGAGAAGTAAGTGAAGAGGAGTTGAATGAATTGATAGATGAATTCAATGTGAAGAAGAATCTTTCGTCCAAGCGTATGATCTGTATGCCATACTTGTTTGAAATGGGCCAGAGAATAGACAGCTGCGAAGAAAGCTCCATTGAGCCATCTTCTTCTTTGTGATACGAATTCGGGAACGGTATCTAAAAAATGATCAGTAAATTCCATAACAAACACAGCGGTTCAACTTACCTGGCACATCGGTCTCTCCAGTACATCCCTTCACATATTTCAAGACCCATCTTTCATCTCTCTTAGCCACCAATTCCCAACACAAAATACGATCTTCAGCCAAATACATGTTTGCCGTAAAGACATCTGCATTTTGACCATGTAGCGTCTCTCCCTTGAAATACTGACTCAGAGGACCATGGCCCGTATGATCATTCTGTAAAGCATGATATCTGTATGCACTCAACGCACCAGGCAAAACAGTAATATAACCAAACACACTCTCAATAGGCTTATCAAGAATATTCGACATCTTGTATTCGAAATTTTGAGACGCGACCAAAGGATTAAGAAGTCCCATCCATCCTTTTCCTTTCATCGCTTTGATTTCTCCACAAGCACCAGCAACATTCGAGTCGGTATCAAACGCTTTCCACAAATGATAAAGCGAATTGCCTCCAGGCTTCGTGCCCACATCCAACATGATGCAAATATTCGGTGTGAGAGCTCTCCCAAAAGCATTGAAGAACCAACGATGAGAATTCAATTTCTTTGCATTCTTTTCCTTGAGACAAAAAAGCATCTGACAAGGAACAATTCCCTTCTCAGCACCTTTAAACTTGAGGTCCGAATCCAAAGAAACTTGAGTCGTATACTCATACACATGAGCTTGCACTTCTCTCCCATTAACCAAATTCTTAGCAATTCCATCTTGATAAACACCCATCGCAGCCAGAGCATCGAGTGTTCTCGGATGAATTTTCTGTCTACCATCCGAAATAATAGCAACCACAATCTTTTGCCATCCATTTTCTCCCCACGTTCTCGATTTCGATCGAGAACAGAAATGTGAGATATTTTTCATAACAGCATGCATCGTTCTCGTAAAATCAATCTCCGTCTCATTGTACATGGTAATACAGATGAAAAGTTCGGTTTCTCTAGCCGTGGCTCCCATATTTTGACGTAACTTGTAACCTTTCGCTACAAAATCATCAGGATCGCACGTAACGGCTGTATATCGCATATGTGTGAATTCAATTTCATCTCTTCGTGGCAAGAAACTGTAAAGGATAGTAGGGATTTTACACTCCAAAATCAGTTCTCCGTTAATAAGTTTGACTTCCCGTTTCTTCATTTGCGTCGTCCGATTAGCACCTCTTCGTTCTTGCTTTCCAGAAGGTGCGGGCCCATAATGTTCGTAGTCCTTTGCACTTTCCATATCATCACCCAGTGTCGAATATGATTGTCTCGACCTCATAGTTCCTCTCGGGTCCCTCTTTTCCGGCCCAAAAACATCCTCATCTAACATTTCTTCTTCATAATCGTGTTCGAGTGGTATGTGAATCGTTGCATCGTCTCCAAATGGCGACCGAGCACCATGAGCTGCAAATAGAGGAGCCGGAGGTAATGGTCTTCTTGGACTCCCCCCATAAGCTGTTGAAGGTGTGCCAGGTCTTGGACTTCCGTTCAAGTCCGATGGCTCATACTGATAACCCATTGGAGGCGGCACGTTGAATTCCGAAGAGTTCCTCTCTTCTCTAATGGGAGACCAAGTTCGCGTGGGAGAAGCGCGACCGGAGGGTGAATATTGTAGAGGTGAATATGGACGATATGCGCTTTCGGGGGGAGGTAAATCTGGGACGTTATCTATAATTGAAGGCGCTCTTCGATGATCGTCGTATGTGGTTGCCGTAGGAGGTCTTCTGTGGTCATCATAGGTATTAATCGAAGGAGGTCTTCTATGGTCGTCGTAGGTATTCATTGAGGGAGGACGTCTATGGTCGTCATATGTATTTATCGAAGGAGCTCTTCTATGATCATCGTAGGAATCTGTGGACATAACAGAAGCTTGATAAGATCTGCGATCGGAGGAAGTACTAGTATTTTTCAACAGTGAGCTTTTTTTACCTATCAATTGCGATTTCAACGTAGACAAAGGAGAGGAAACCGGGTGCCTCAGTGATCTCCGACGGGAAGGGCCATCTGGAAGCACGGGCAAGAGATGCGCGATATCATTGGGGTCATGGGCACTCATCGCTGTCGCTGCTACCTCGACTTCTTTTTGCAACTTGCAAGATGAGATGACTTTCTCTTCTGCTTCCTTGAGAGACGCGAGATGCTCTGGGGTCGCCACGGACACGGCTGGAGGGGGTTTCCTGGGAGATAAATGAAGAGCTCGCGGAGCGAGTGGTACTACATACGGACGGGTATCGGGATCATCGTAGGAAGTTAACAAACGAATTTCGGAGCCATGTCGATTATGCCCTGCAGGTATTGAATCATATTCATCTGGATATGTCTCTGAATACATTGGAGGCATCGAGGGCGTATTTGAGCGATCCATATTTAAAACTAATGCTTATTGTGATTTGGGGAGTGAATTTTGCGACGGAAATGCGCCAATTCCAATCTTCTTTGGGGGGAATGCGACTGAATGTTTACTCTTCCATGAATGGATGTGGAATGGTTTGCGTGCGAAGCGAATGTTTGGTGTAAATATTGATTCTTCTTTGGGGAGTTTGAGTCTCAGAATTGGCTTTTTTGTTCCCCCAAGGTTTCGTGGGATTTGGATTCGGATTCAGATATCAAGTTCAGATTCAAATTCAATTCTCAAAATCCAATTCCAATAGTATAGTTGGCAGAGAATAAAATAAAAGTATAATAATTATCAAATATCAAAGATTCATATCATAGACCAAGTGGAGAGAGGAAGGATAGTATGTATGTATGTATGTATGTATGTAGGTAGGTAGGTAGGTAGGTACAGGACTTTTCTTTTCGTAGACACGCCGCATCCAATTTTCCTCTAGGGCAGACAAGGCAACGGGCACGCAAGCAAGCAAGCAAGCATGGGAGGGAACGAGGAAACGAGGGAAAGAGAGGAAAAGAGGGTACAGAGGGTACAGAGGGTAAGAAAAAATGGATCAACATCTCCACGAAATGGAATGGCGGGAGGACAAGTTAACGGGGCAACGAATCAACGATGCATTCGACTCAACCAGGTATTCAACTGTTTTTTATTTTTCCCCTTTCCAGCCACGTTTTGCGCGTGCTCCAGCTATTAACCATGCAGCATCCCTAGGTACGTAAGATAGCTAAGACTTGACAATCAACCAATCCCGTGCCATAAATACCCATAGTCCGCGAGTTCCGGAGTCCGTACATACATATCTACACATCTACATACCATACATACCTACATACTGCAGGATATCGAGGTACACAGCCATGAAAATGGAGTCGAACATCCATACAGATTACCAATCTCTATCGTACAATGTAAATCTTACATCCATCTAAAAATACATTGATTCATTGATTTATACATTTCGTATCCCCTTTTCGCGTCTGTCTATCGAGAATCGAGATGGAGTATATGATTTGTACCTACCCAGTATCTCCCTATATTCATCGTATAGATATTCCGAATGAACCGACGATGAGAATAGAGAAGCTACTGGTATCATTCTCCATCTCATAATCATCTCATCTATTATATATATATACAGAGAAGTAGATGGCGGTATTAGATAGCTATTTAGTATTTATTTAGTATTTATTTAGTATTTATTTAGTATTTATTTAGTATTTATTTAGTATTTATTTAGTATTTATTTAGTATTTATTTAGTATTTATTTAATATTTATTTAATATTCATTTAGTATTTATCTACTATTTATCCACTATTTATCCACTACTTATCTAATATGTATCCAGTATTTATCCACTCCTTATCCAGTATTCATAAACAATCAATCGAATCAACAACGAATAGATAAAAGTCCGTGAGAGATCTAGAGTTAAAAATTCACCTATTTCCTACATCGTACATACTCTCTACTACCTACTACCTAGTAACAATAATGACCTAAAAATGATAAGATAGGTATCATCTTAGGTATGTAAGGAAAGTCTTGTCTCACTGTTTACTGTTTCCTGTTTCCTGTTCACTGTTCACTGTTCACTTACCTATCTATGTACTCTATGTACTCACTCACTCATAACATCACTCACCCCTCACTTGAATTCACTTGTTTCACTCATCAATTCATCAATTCATCAATTCATTAATCCATAAATTCATTAAGTAGGTACCTAGGTACCTGATAAACATTCTTCACAATTCACAATTCACAATTCATAATAAAACTTAAAAATGTAAACAAATAGTATCCTCATTTCTTCATACCTCAGGTATCCTTCCATCCATTGATCTGTCTACAAATCTTCCCCATCCATCTGACTTTCACTCCCTTCTCATCCCTCCCATCCCTCCCTTCCTCTCCATTCACTCCCCCCCCCCCTGCTCTGCTCTCCATAAAAATTATTACTACTATATTATGTATCCATCCTATAATAAAACGTATCCAAAGTACATTTGATAAAACAAACAAACAAACAAACAAAACATCAACATCAACATCAACATCAACGTCACCACAAATATTTCACATACCAGGTATCTTTGCTTGCTTGCGATGGCTATCACATCTTTCACTCTTTAAAAGAAATATCCGCGTTCGTAGGATCGTAAATATACACAAAGATTTTTAATTTCATCCTCATTTCTCGCCGAGTCCTTCTTTCCCCCAAGACCTCAAACGTCTTTCTCTCTTCACTTCTTCTTCCTCTTCTCCTTCCAAAATCCTCCCCCTCTCGCCTAAGTTTTATCCTCCTCTCAACATGAATAGAATAAAAACCTTCCGTATCAAAAAACCATACCCGAAATATTAGGAACGTTCTTTATATAATGATGCAAAGAAGGGGGTATAAAGACGATACCCAACGCCCAATGACTTGAAAATAAATAAATAAGGAAAAAATGATGAGCGTATTGCTCTTCTTCAGACAGATGCTGAGATTTTAGAGAGGATGTGTATGATACAACGAGATGAAGTTCTTGAGATTACCTTCATGTGTTTTGAATTTGGGGGGGGGGGTATATGTTGTGAAGAAGAAATTAAATTGTCCTGTTGAACAGTCCTCAATTCCATCCCAATGAATTCTCTGCCATCATTGGTGCCGAGATTTGTTGTGTGCGTGCTGAATGTCCTGCACTTCTTCCACTTCCTCCACTATTTCTATCGGTTCCTCCAATACCAGGCGTCAAACGACCACCAGACATGAATGCACCACCAGTGAAAGCACCAGATTGTCTCATTTCGGATGCATTCATGATCGAGTTTGATCGACGATGGCTAAGCTTACGTTTCTTGTATCTTCTGGCGATGAAGAACATGGCAGCACCGTACGCAGCTGCTGCACCTGCTGCTCCAACAACGATACCAGCTGTGGTACTCTTAACCTTTGGTGAGGTATTTTGAGCATCAGTATTGAAGACACCACTATTGCCTGAAGCACTAGTAGTTGCTGCTGATCCAGAACTGTCAGTACCCGTTCCAGAACCACCTTCAAGAGTTGATCCAGGTGTTAATGGAATAGAAGGGTTGATATAGCTAACAAGTGTGCTAACTGAAGTATCAGGATTGTTGTAGATAGCTGCTGTAGGTGTGTGTAAATCAAGTTCCAATGTGCTGACCAAGTTGGTGGGGATATAAGCGAGTGCCAAAGTTGTAATGTATTCCAATTGAGATTGTGTATTGTATGGAATAAGACTGTGCATCACAACTTGTTCTTGCTTGATTCCTAATCCATTGGCAATACCTATTGGGAGGTATTGGAAGATTTGTGCTGATGAAAGTGGGTTGGCAACAACAAATGCATAATTAAGTTGGAAAAGGAAACCAAGTTGAATCAAAGTAGAGTTTTCTGGACTGGTTGGAATAGATCCACTAGGTGTGATGACCTTTGGTAAAGTTGTAGCAAGTGCAGTGTTGGTAGGAGTGACTTGATTAGTTGATGAAGATTGAACAATGATGGTTTGTGGAAGCCACATTGATGTAGCATTGTTTGTGGCTGTTGGGTAGATTGTGAGAGGAGCTGTGGTTTCACTAGCCGTTTGAGTCTTAACAACTGAAGTAGTACTTTCTTGAGTGGGAGAGGCAATTGTTGATGGAGTAACGGTCGTTGAGGGAACGGAAGTAATTGGTGCAGTATTAGCTGAACTTCCAGAGGTAACAGTTGCTGAAGAAGCTGCCGTTGAGGATACATCAGTTACCGTTGTGTTTGGTGTTGTTGTGGCAGAAACTGATGTTGCAATGCTCGATAGGCTCGAGGCAGAAGCGGAGGAAGCGGAGACTGAAGTATCAGTAACATTGGCTGATCCACTGGTTACAGAAGTTACGGAGGAAGTCGATAAAGTAATAATTCCTGTTCCTGAACTGGATGTAGTGGTAGCAGATCCGGTTTGAACGCTGGTGGAAATGCCAGTTGTAGATACTGCAATCGAGGTCTCATTTCCACTTGCAGTGGTTGGGAGAACAATTCCTGAAATTGTAGAAGAAGATCCAAGGCTAATGGAGGTACTTGATACAATATCTGTTCCAGATGTAATGGCTGTAGCATTTGGAGCTCCAGTGGCAGTTGATATATCACTAGTAATCGTAGCAGATAATTCACTGGCAGTGCTAGAGCCAAAAATGCTCGATATTATACTTCCCAATGGAGTAGAACTGGAGGAAGATGGTGTAGTAGTACTAGCTGCGGTGGAAGAGAGATATGTGGAAGAACCAACAATGGAAGTAACACCAGAAATGACGGAGGATAATAATCCTGTGGATGATGCACTTTCCGAGGTAACTGTAGCCGAGGCAGATACACCTGTTCCGCTGAGAATTATTGAACTTGGGGCACTAGATAAATCTGACGTGATTGATCCAATTCCAGAGGTTACATTGGAAGTTGGAGAAGAAAGATCCGAGGTTACTGACCCAAGAAGAGAAGTAATACCGGAAAGAAGACCGGTTGATGTTGGGACAGAGGATTCAGTGGCAGTAGGGCTGACTCCTGTAACTGGGCCGGTAATTCCTGCAGATGATGCAGAAGCACTCAAATCAGTAGCGGTAGTAGTTGGTAATGTATTCGAGGTTTCAGATGCCAAGACAGAACTGAAGTCGGAAGTAACTCCAGATACAAGGGAAGAAATCAAATCTGTAGCGGAAGCGGTATTTGAAGCATCGGTACTATTCAAAGTACCTATAACAGATGCGGATTCAGTAGCTTCTATTCCGGTAGCTGAGGCAGTACTGGTTGTAAGTAAATCAGATGTGAGGGATCCAACATCCGAAGTTACTCCAGATACAAGAGATGATAGTAAACCGGCTGGGGCTGTAGTAGATGCAGATCCACTTGAAACACCAGTTGCAGGTCCAGTAATTCCAGCAGAAGTAGGAGAAGCTGTAGCACTCAAATCCGTGGCAGATATACCTGTAGTAGCTCCAATAATCCCCGCTGAGGAAGCTGAAGCCGAAGCGACAGAATCCGTAAGGGAAGTCAAGGAAGTTGAAAGAATATCCGAGGTAGCGGAAGATACCAAGGAGGATACTCCACCGACCAAGGATGAGAGCAAATCGCCGGAAGCTGATGATGAAGCGGCACCTGGACTGTAGATTGGAGCGGTTCCTGTTGAGGCTCCAGTAATTCCAGAAACTGTGCTTGAAGGTGCTGAGATACCGGTGGATATTCCAGTAATCCCAGGAACAGTTGTTGGCACTGAACTATCTGTAGTAGCAGTGTTTGAAGGTGAGATATCTGAGGCAGCAGTGGATGGTCCAGTAACGCCAGCCAAAGTAGTTTCAGAAGAAACACCTGTAGCAGGTCCAGAAACTCCAGCACTTGAAGTTGCAGCTGATGAATCTGTTGGTAAAATAGCACTCGTTACTTGTGATACTGCAGTTCCTAGATCTGAAGTCACACCACCAACCAAACTGGTTACTCCCGTACCAATAACTCCCAAAAGACCAGATGATGAATCAGTTGGAACAGATACTGGGGAGGTGTTTGTATCCGAAGGACTTGCAGTGATAGTACTTGAGCCGGATAAAACTCCACCTGGTCCAAAAGTGATCCCACTAGCTGGTGAGGAAGTAGTGGCTGAAGTTACCAATGTACTTTGAGAATCGGATTCAGAAGTTGTGGTAGGAAGGATAATACTAATTGGAATTAAACCTGTGGAAGCGACAATTGGCTCCAAAAGGTTTGAGCTTGAAGAACTATCTACTGATGCGACTGAAGATGGGGATACAGTTGTACTTGGAGCTGAACCAGTTCCGGCAACATCACTGGAAGAGGCAGACGTGATAGTGGTGGCTACAGAGGTTTCAGAGGTTTCTGATGATTGAGCAACACTGGAAATAACGGTTGGAGCTGTACCAGTAGGTACTCCAGAAACACCTGAGGCGGTTAAACTTTGAATTGGAGTCTCGGATGAAGTTGGAACTGAAACTGGCGCAGTTACTGATAAACCAGATCCAGTTGATGCTCCGGTAATACCCGCGACTGAGCTCGAGGATGGAATTGAAGTCTCGGAAGCAGTACTTTCGATGGAAGTTGGGACAGTGCCAGTGGATACACCGGAAATTCCATCAACGGTGCTTTGGGTTGAAGCTTCAGAGGTGCTTGTCTGAACAATGACTGGTGCAGTACCAGTAGATGCTCCAGAAATTCCAGCAACTGTGCTTTGGATTGAAGTTTCGGTAGCGCTAGTCTCAGTGGATTTTGGGGGTGTACCTGTTGATGGTCCAGAAACGCCAAAATCTTCGGAAACGGACGTGCTTGACACACTAGAGACGCTAGTGGCGCTGGTAGTTGTGGGTACACCGGTGGAGGCTCCAGTTAATCCAAGGGAAATATCAATATCAGTATTGCTGGAACTACTGATTGGTTCGACAGCCGATTTTGTAGTAACCGATGAAACTCCGACGAGAACATAGGAACTGGTGGATGATGGGCTAGATACTCCAGTTGGTACTCCAGTTATTCCTTCAAGAACCGAAGTGGAGGATGGCGTAGAAACTATTGAACTGGATCCTCCAGTTGAGACTCCAGTAATTCCATCCACAGTTGAGCTAGAAGAGCTAACGATTGTAGGAACCGATACAACAGTTTGGGATGTACCAGTAGATGCTCCGGAAAATCCAGCATTGGAACTTGTCGCAACAGATTGTACTGATGAGCTGATGACAGTCGAACTGGGTGAAGTGGTCGATTCAAGGGATGAGATGGTGGGTTCAACTCCGGTCGAAACACCTGTAATTCCATCCACAATTGAGGTCGAAGAACTAGTAGTCGTGGGAACAGGGACAATGGAACTCGAAGAACTGGTAGTCGTAGGTACGGAAACGATGGTTTGGCTTGTTCCAGTTGATGCTCCAGTATATCCAGCATTAGAACTTGAATCGGTACTCAAAACTGAACTTCCCACCGTCGATTGAGCACTTGGCGATGGAGTTGTTTCAACAGCTGAGGTCGAAGTTGAAGTCGAACTTGTCGTTGCTGGAATCACGGGAACTTCACCAGATCCAGTCCCTAGAGTCACAGTACTCATAACTAGAATGGTTGTGATATCATTTGAAGATACACCACTAACGACGGTTGTACTCAAAGATGTAGTACTGGGAGGAATGCTCGTGGTTAAACTCGATGACGAAGGTATCGATGTTGTAGTTGTCGTTCCTAAACCAAGTATAGAAGAGAAAGTATCCAAGAATGAATTACTTGAAGATGCCCTCTTATTCGTCGTAGTATCTTGAGTTCCATCATCTGATAGTGGATCTTTTGTGGATGAGAACGACGATGTAATTGTAGATTCATCCTTCGTGTGTGATGTTTGAGCTGGTGTATTGCTTGTAATGGTATTGTTTGAATATATTTGTCTTTTGACTTCTCGTGGGAAGTAATATTTTGGTCGGTCCCCTTCTGCGGAGGCAAGTGAGGAAAGAACGACCGCGGAGGCCAAGAATAGCGAAGGTGTATGCATGATTGTAAAATTTATCTCGATTTATTTTTTATTTCGAACGTATTATTGAGATTTTAGTATTCGAAAGTATTGGACGAAAGTTTAGATCGATCTAAACATGAATTAGTTGAAGCCCAAAGTTGAGTACGACGATGGCGTTGGTTGATGAATAGTGGCCGCGGCCATCAAAAATGAAGATAGAAGACTAACTGTCAGGGAGAATAAGTAATAACGAGTGTACTTGACAAAATGTCAAAGAGTGTATCTATTGATAATTGTCATTAGTATGTTAACTTATTGAATATCGCATGAATGATCAACATAAATCTAAAAAGTCAAGATTTGGACGATAATTTGCGAACGAATTGATATCGCTACCTCAATTCAAAGAACGGTCATCATTCAAGCCGAACCAACATTTTCCCTCGCAAACACTCTTTATTTTTGGTGAACAAACATCGACTCACATCTTAAAATTAATTGTATCAAATCGTATGTGTATAAATCGCGAGTCTTCAAAGGAGTGTCGTGACGATAAATCGTCGATTGTTTTTTTGGGTGGGTATATCCTCCTTTCACAACTTCGAATCGAAACCAAATCATCTACGAGCGACCATTATCCAAAAGCCTCCGGAGGCTCTCACGATTAAAGATGTTGATACTCTCCGACGAGATAATATCGTTCGATCGACCTTCGCTGTCGAAATCGATTGTTGGTTATTGTATTCCTGATGAGGTGTCGAGAGTTGGGTATAGAGAGAGTGTGTGGAGGTGAGGTCGGAGTGAAGAGGTGGGTGATGAGTGGTGGAGAAGGATGGCGAGGAGGAGGTTCAATGGAATGAATGAATAAATGAATGGATGAATTGAAGTGGCCTCGATTTCGTGAGAACCTTTTGCCTTGGGGCCTTGTGAAGCTTTCAGTGTGAGGATGAGAGATTTCTGTGGATACTCTCAAGTTGTGGAACGTAGGCGTACGGGCCAGGGAGTCAATATACTAGAATTATAAAGGTTAGTTAGGGGGAACGTCCGTTGTATAGACCAGGAACCAAAAAAATAGTATACCAGGGGGCCGTGAGATTGATAGAAAAAACGGGAGGAAGAGAGAGGTGGTGTAATTATGAATACAAAGTAGGAACTAATAAGTAGGTAGATTGAAGCACGAGCACATTTCAACATGATATTGTATTTGTATAACCACGGTAGACTTACGGATGATATGATGGGAGTACGGAGTACGATGGAAGTACACAATACACCAAAAGGATGTATTGAGATGAATGAGGATGAGATTCTATTGTAACTATGGTTACAACAATCATACAACTTCTCTAATGTGAGATGGCGAGCAAGCAAATGATAGATGTATGTATACAAAATACTCATAGGTGAAACTAATAAATCCATAAAAAAAATCAAAGTATGTTATTATGGAATTGTTTCTATGTGTCTGCCTACGTAAATGTTCATAATTTTTATGTATTTTCTATCTGGTCAGTCGTCTTCTTGTCTTTGACTTACTCACTGCCTACGCACTCACTGTCTATCCCTCGCGCTCCTCACTCCCTCTCTCTCTCTCTCTCTCTCTCTATCTGATCCATTTATCTTTGCCTCCAAGCCACTAGACAATCATCACCTATTTAGCATTTTTCCTTACCCCGTGTTACTTTCGCCTAAATACCAACCCAGTAACTTGTCACTTATAGCCATCGATTCACCAATAGGATCTAACGATTAGTCTCTAGCGTGTTTTAAAATAAGCCTTTAATCATACTTTAATATCCGAATACACGAATTGAGGTGTATTATCGTACTATGAAAACAAGGGGCCAGGTTAAACTTGTAAGGGAAGGGAGGCTTTCAAGGCTTTTTCTTCTTTCCACCTGAGCATTGAACAACAGTCAGTCAAGTTTCATTTGAACAATTCACAAATGCGAGCCAGAAGAAGGGAAAATAGTCGGCAGTTGTTTCAATGTCAATCAAAATCTGTGGTTCAATTACTTCTTACAAGGCTAGACAAATAACCTAGTCAATTTGTTTCCTTGCGCATGGAATTATAATGGTTCATGAGTATGGTAATTTGGGGATTAATGGTAGGATGAGATGGAATAGAAACAATCAATCTGTTTGAGATGAAAATTGTAATCTTATATCTTATATAAAAGACTATGAAAATTGTTCATGTCTATCATAACTCTCATCATTTTCTTTCCTTTTCTTTACTTTACTTTCCTCTCCCCTCCAAAGAATGATATGCAGCTCCGCCACTTCCAAAAATGAATGTGATGAACGACATCACCGCGCCAATATTCCAACAATTGGTGAAAATCTCCTGCTTTATGCATTGACAAATTAACAATGCACATTCTTCTATCGGAAAATAGATTTATTGATTCTATTCAATACTATTGAGGCCAATTCGGTGGCCGCCTTACTCAATGAGTTGATCAACCGAGTTTTTCCCCTTCATTTCAAGATTTTCGTTTACACCACCAACCATGTTGACAACCAAACCATAAACATAGACATAATTTCCAATTGAATCGTCGTTCTACCACGACTCTCTAACCTTCAATCTATCGTGAATCGTGATTAAACATCTGACCATCATAACGTAGTTTGTATATCATCTTAATAATTCTCCTGGTGCAACAAGCTAAGTCAAAGTCTATGACCCTACTCAACGCTCAGGTCCCTGGAAAGATTATGGCGTCGATCATTTGGTCTAAGAACCATCTAAAAACCATCCTCGAGCCATCGCTCTTCTCTAATGAGAAGCTCTCCCCACATACGGACGGAGCACAGTAGTACACACATATCACAAAAATGGAGTACACACACATCATCACACGCACCCCTAGGGCCTACACCTAAGCTCTGTGTTCAACATCGAATACTCTCCACTCTCGCAATCCACTCCCTCTCGTTCCAATCCAGCTCTGGTTAGTTTGTTCATGCTCCCCATCTCGCTCTTGTTTCTGTCCTGTATCTAACCGCTAGGTCTAGGTACCTTTTCACATCTTACTCCATTCTCCATATCGTAATGCGTGCCTGGGTATGCTCTGATTCGTTCATCTGAGCTACTAGTCTTCCTGTGTGTCAATAATTAACGCGCAGTGATTGAACCTACGCAATCCGATCAAAAGTCGACATGACATGTATACGGGGTCTGTATGTGAAAATAGACATACATTCCTATAAATATTTTCTTACTTTACCTATCCAATCGTAGGAAATGTCTGTGGTGCAGAAGAATAAGATGATATTCGGAAATTATGATATCTGAGCAAATCGGAGCAAAATAAACATTTTTTTTTACTTTGTGGTCTGTACCCTTCATATCAATAAGTAGATTCAAAAATCCAGAAGGGTCCGAGGCATGTATAGCAATAGAAGATTCCGAAGGGAAGTCGTCGCAATGCGGAAATTATCATCAGATTTACGACCTGAGCTTAAGGAACTTCAACTCCTCCCGCTAGAACAAATATCAAATATCTCATAGTTTACCTTGCTCCTCTGCCCTACTCTACCCTACCTGACAAGTTTCCTGGGATTTACACGCGGAAACCATCAATTTAACTCAATTCTCCGGTGTAGACTTACTTACACTTACTTACTTGCTTAACTCACTTAACTCACTTAACTCACTTAACTCACTTAACTCACTTAACTCACTTAACTCACTTAACTCACACTTGGGACAGCAAGCGGCCGAGCGAGTGAGCCCAAAGCTAAAAAGTCCTCAAGCTAGAACACATACCCATAATCGACCCCAAACCCATTGAAGAGAAGTCGGAAAAACGCCAAGAAGACCAGCGCTACCAACTCCCAACTACAAGCTTGATAATAAAATTACCATCAGGTCTTTTATGCATACCGAGTAGAGGATTCAATCTTGTCCTCTAAAATTGATGTTTTTCTCTTGTCTGTGGGCCGCAGAAACCTACAAAGCGTAAATATCTCTCTAATTTGATCTTGGTCTCGTTCTTCTTAATTACCGGCGGTGTGATTATTAAAAAGTATCTTTCTCGGTATCGATTCTATCTATCTACCGACATACGCCCTCATAGATACGATTCAGACAAGAGAGCGGATGTTCGTCTGAACCTGTCTCGATCTTTCTTTCGTGAGTAAGTGAGTGAGTGAGTGAGAGTTTCATATGTCTATCTATCACAACTCCAACGATCAATTACCCACCTTAATAGACTAAAAGAAAGGATACGATATTCCTTTCACTCATTGTCGAGTTTCAATGTTTCAATCATCTGGATACGTACATACATACATAACTTCGTGAAGACTACTTAATCCAGCTAGCCTAGCTACACATACAGGAATGCAGATCACAAATATACATCGACGTATCTACACAAAACTATACACAAGACCACACACTCCTCTTCCCCGTTCATGGACATGGCGTCATATACACTGTTTCATCTTCCGCACATCACAGCTCCAGTTCCACACTCCATCCATTCATCCGTATGTATTTCAAATTTCACAGTCCTCCGTACATAGCTTCCGTAGCCAGCCATCCAAGATATACGCCATGTGCATTGTGCATGTATCTTTCCATGTACCTATGTATATATTGTGATACAAAGGGAACATTCTTCAATCCTTCCATCCACACACACACACAACACTACAACTAGAAATCCGATACCAATACATTCCTTCCTTCTTTTCTTCACATTATCATGATTTTTGTTTCAAATTCAGCTCTTCTCTTCTCTCTCTCTCCAAATCCACAATGAAAATCCACAATGAAACGAAACAATCCGCCACCTTCTCTTCCTCTCCTCCCCTCTTCCCATGCATACTCCTAAACTCCCAAGTCCAAGCACACCCATCCAATTTCCAAACACGAAGGGGCTTTCCCTGTAACATTCCCATTTGTTTCTCCTCTCGGATTCTCAGCTTCCTAGCTGTGTAGTTTTCGTGACTGGGATTTTAGGGTTTGCTGAGGTATGTCTGATGTATATTATATCGTATCAAAAAAGAGAGGAAAAAAGACGTTC